AAATTGACAATTGACTCACAAGTTACTTATACAAAAAAATTGAAAGTGTCTAATCGCATGTGAACATTTTGTACAATTCATATACAAATAATCAATAATTTTGCAATATGATTTCATAATCAGTGCATAATAACAACATTTTTTTTTAATGATAGTGGCAAAAAGAAAACTTGCAATGAATCATAATGCATAATGTTTTATAACATCACATGTGTGAATATTATTATATTATTATATGTGTATATTACTATTATATCATATGAGTATCTGATTTTTTATGTAATAAATTACACTCTAATATATGAAATAAAATTTCATAAACTTTTTCCTGAACTAATCATGATGTTACAAATATACAGAAAATGTTCAAAAAATTGAAATAATAATAAGAGAAATTCGTTAAAATTATTTGATTTCTATTTTTTTTAAAAAAAATTATATTTTATACTTATGTAAAATATCGTGAATCAAATTTTTTTTTGAAAGAATTAATAATATTTCAAATATTAGATATATTAGATGTTATTCTGGCAAATAACTTGAAATATGCATTGCATCTAATTTTATTTGAAGTATTTTTCTTAGAATCCAAAATTTTCAAATATTCCTTTAAAAAGAAGTGTATTTTTGAAAAAATGGAAATAAAAAATTATATTACACGTATTTCAAGTATATTTACTTCCATGCAATTCATGACCATTAACAAATATATTTAGCTTGGATGTGTAAATTATACATGACTCAAATTTTTAGTTTTTCCAATTATTTCAAAAAGTTTTAACGAATTTTTTTCTTAATCAAGATTTTTTGTCCTAAAAATTTCCAATTATGATTGAAAATTAACTATGCAAAAAAATTTACTTTTGATTGAAAAAGGAAAACCCGCAAAAAATAATAATATCAAACATGCCATATGCTTTATAATCATCTATTATAATTTTTTAATTTTTTAGTTAAAATTTAATTATTCAATATTTCTTGTATTCAATATAATTATTATGATTTCTTGTCAAAATCTTTAGAAATTGATTTTATATATTTAAAATTCAAAAATTTTTAGCATATTTTACAAGATTTTTCTCTAATAAATTTTATTTTGCTAATTTTGCTGCATATTTCCAATATATGTATATATATTTCATTACATGTAATCAAATTTTGAAATGTAAATAAAATTTATAAGATGATGATTGTTAATACTAAAAAATTAGAAGAATATAAATAAAATTTATTGAAATTAAGAATTTAATTTAAAACTTCAAATGAAGCATTCAGTTGAAAAATATACTGTAATTATCACATTGTCTTGTAATATTTGCATGACATTATATCACATGGCATTTATTTCGCAAATAAATGATTAAATTAATGATTTTAAGTTAAGATGATAAATTTGCATGTCTTTTATTAATTTCATTGATAAATCCTCTGTTTTTAGTTGGAAAAAATTCTTCAAATTTATTTATATTTTTATTGATTTTTGCTTAAATATATATTTTTCTTTTTTAAATTTAATTACATATCATGGTTGATTGTTAGTCAATCATGACATACATGAAAATATTATTTTGTTTGAAATTTCATTGATCTTAACACAATGTTTAAAAATTTTTAGATTAAATTTATTTTTGAGAAAAAATTATATTTTTTATATTTTAAAATAAATATTCCAATTTAGATTCAATTGATTTAAATATTTTTTTTAAATAAATTAAAATTTTATTTCTTATACATAGTGATAACTGATATTGGTGTAGATAAGATAATTTATCATCATTACTTTTTTACGACACAATAATTTCCTGAATTTTATTGTTAAATTATTAAATAATTTTTGAAATGTACTTCATACAAGTACTTACCTGCTTCAAACATGACTTCTTTTTTATAGAAGTCATATTTTGAGTTCAAATTTTATGTATTAAGTGAAGGTCAAGGTCAAAATTATTATCTTTATAATCAATTTCAATAAAATTGATATTTGAATAAATTCAAATGGATTAAAAATTCTACGTTCAGATTATTTCTAAATTTTTGTTCATCATAATTATACATGGTTGTATCTTGTAAATAAGTTTACATGCACATGCTTTTCTTTGTATACCTATTTCGTTCATATTGTTGGAGGATAATCATCATATATTGTGATGATTGTCATTGATTATATGATGTATATTCAATTACATTTCATTTTGCTCAAAATGAATAGACATTTAACTCTAAGTACTAGTCAAAATTTGTCAAAATACCCAAATCAAATTGAAAACTCATTGCATGATGTTTCCAAGATATATAGACAGAAATATTATATTTTCATGAATCAATCACCTTATCCAACTTCAACACGGCATGGGAAATTTAAAACTTCACCTTTTTCAAAAGATATATATCTTTTGATATAATTTATAATTAATATAAATAAATTTTTTTATCTTTTCAATATTGAAAAAAAGTTAACATGTATGTGAAGCTTTTTGGAATCTGGTGTGCTACAATCGTTTTTTTATTTCATTATGTGTTGATATGGGAGTCGATGTAATCAAAAAAGCTTGATTAAAGTAAAGATACATTGTAGTTTTTTTCTTCCTTTGGACATCTTTAAGCTTTGGGTTACAAATCCTGGCATCTTAGATCCAAACTGATTTTCAAATATTGAGAGGAGATTTTTGGCTCTTTAGTTATTTCACAATTTTCAATTTTTTTTTCTCGTTGTAAGAATGACGTGAAGTTAGAGGTGCAATTTCTAACTCAATGCCAGCAATCAAATCCAACCTAGATTGTCACAAAAGTGTACATGAGCTCACATGTACCAGAAAATCCAACTCAAACTTTTCAACCAATGGAAAGTCCACTGAATTTGTTTGAAAATATTTACCACTGTTTCAAACAACTACACGCTATTTTTCTCATCATTCTACTTATCCATTGTCTGATTTGGTCAAACCGGTTCTGACGAGAGTTTGTGTGTATCCCTTTTTTGCTTAAAAAAATGTTAAAATTGTCTTAATGCCAATAGGACCACATTACTCTCAACAATTTTCTCGTTTGCATTTGTGATTGAGTGCACTTCGGTATCTATAGTCGTTTGAAAGACAGACATACATAAACTAATTGGCCTGCTCAAACTTCTACAAGAGTCACAATTATGCCCAAAGGGTGTGAAGAAAGGGAACTGAGTCAATCTTCTCTCCCCAAAATCACTCGTTTTTGAATACTTAGTTTTCTCCGCATAAAAATAGCGATTTTATAGTCATTTTATTAGAACGCGTTCAGAAGAATGTTCCTCTGGCCTCCATCCGATGACCTAATGTTCGTTGATTTGAAGCACATCGAATGTCTCAAAAAATATAAATATCTGAACATGGAGATCGCAAGCAGGAATCTATCAACTGACATCCCCAACTTTTGAAGAAGACATCCTTGATACGACCGCAATAAACAACAACAGTGGACCGATCAAAATCAAGCAGACATTTGAAACTACTGTGGGCAAAGAAGTGGAGAACATGCATGAATTTTCTTCAGATTTGATTGACAATCTCCACTACAGTGCACAACAGGAGACACTTGCATGCTCGTTTTAATGCATTCAATGACGCCTCCATGACGTGTCAAAGTTCTCTGAATAAAATGTATGACGACGTATCCTGTATTTCCAGGATCGATGCCTCTATCCATGAGCTCACTGAGTCTAGCCATTCTTTGCAAGAATTAGAAACTGCACTTCAGTTCTTTGACAAAAATTTGCTTCTTGCTTGTTGAAAGCTCAACGCTTCCAGAGGTTCATTCGTATTCTTGTAATATGATATCCACTCAAATCGAACCAGAGTTCAGCGAAAGAGTAAAACAATCTTTCAACTAAATGAGAGGCATGGATGTAAACATGGGAAAAAAATATTATATCGATTCGAAGAAAATAAGGAAGACAGTCGTCTGGGCCAATCTCCCATGCCACGGTCGAGTTACTGCTTTAAAATTATTCCTTCTGAACGCACCTGCCATGCGACGCGGGAGGTCTGCTGAAGGCCAGTCCAAAGCTTGTACTAGACATGGCTAGTCGACGGACTAGGCAGTCTAGCTGCTGGATCTCCCGACCCTTGAGCACGGTTTTGTCCTCTATAGGCAAAGATTCAAGACATGCGAAATGTTGCATCTGGTTCAGATCAGGGCCTGGCGACATCTGGTACTGGGCAGCTTTAGAAGGAAGATGTATTATTTTATCACATGACGAGATGCATGTAAGAGCGCTGAAATGAGCAGACAATTAGAATATAATATAGTAGAATTGAAAAACAGTCTTCCCATGCAGAAGATCGTGTCTGTTGCCATTTCACATAATAAAGCTCGCTCGCCTGGTACACTTTGCTCTCATATAGATACACTAACGAGAGTATTGAAATCTATTCATGCTGCAAAAGATTTTGAAGCACGATGACGTTGGATCGATCCTGCTTTCTGCTGCTTGTTTGCATATGGCTCTGCTGATCATCAGCATCATCATCATCATCAGTAGTAGTAGAACTGTGGGGCGCCTTCGGAGGAGACATGTGATCTCGTAACCTCGAAACTGCCGAGGATGTAGCGACAGACGTGTCTTGGCACCAAACCAAACCTCCGAGGCTCTGAGCCCAGCAGCGGAGGGAGACGCATGTCTGAATACGCAAGATGCCAGAACCGGGCCAACGGGCTCCCATTTCCTCCCTAGACCAGATTCCGGATGTGCTTGCGTCCAATGATGTCTACAATATTAGAGCTTTCAGGTGAGGGAGGGAGGCAGGCAGGCGATTGCATGATCGCGGGACGATTGAATGATTGGGGAGTCGTTGGAAAGCGCCTTCGTGCGTGCGTGTGTGACATGTGGGTGTCGGGAATTGCAGAATGCGTGCACCACGTAAGAAATGTATAATTAATGTCAGAGAATGTTGACGGGGAGAGGGGAGGAAGGGAGGAAGGGAGGGAGGGGAGCATGATTCGAAGCACCCACTTCGTCGATCATGAGGGACTTCTTCTCCTCCCGCTCCCACTGCTGCTGCTGCTGTATAAAATGCGTTGCAAACAGGCCGTCAGCGATGCCTTTTGGTCGGACTGAGGTGAGGGGCAGGGGGACCGTCGAGAGTCGAGACACACGGGCAGGAAAGCCGGCCATGTTTCTGTCCTCACATTCTTGGCAACAGTTGCCCTTGCTCGTATGAAACGAGCGGAATCTGATATCTGGACCCACCAGCCGCCATCTCTTTTCGAACTGGGCTCTCGTCGTATGTCAAAATCTCTCTCGGATTCCTCATCGCCGCCACCGTTTAGGCGAAGCTCGGCAAGCCTAGATGTTACTGAATGTTACTGAATGTTACTGAATGGCCTGGACATGATTGGAGTCTCAGAGATTCGAGGCTTCGGCCCAATTCACTGGCTCGAGCGAGCTTCCGTGGCCGGGCCAGCGATCACTGATTGACAGACAGACCGATACATGAAACTGTCGGTGGCGTGACAATCATTGCCAAGGTTCGGGTCGACCAGTGCACGGACGTACATTCACGAGGGTAGGAGAGAAATGGAGATGTAGAGCAGACATACCACCCCGCGAACGCTGAAGTCATGCTCTGTCGGCCTGTCTGCCTGAACGACCGACCGATCGTCTATCTGGGCACCGATGTTCGAAAGCTCAGAAAGGGCATGCCAGTCAATCACCCAGTCAGTGGGTCGGTCATGTGGTGGGTCGGACTGCACCGAGTGCATGCGCTGAGCAGAGCACAGCAGATGATAGCTCGGCTGCGCTTTGCTTCCTCTCGCTCGTCTGGGACCATGGCTCATGGCACCAGATCCGTGGACTACACGACTCAGGAAGCTGCGTAGAATTCTGTCGAGATTGTCAAGCCAGCGCAAACGATGAAGATCGTCGTGGCCTTTTCTCGTCACCTGGCTGCAATTTGCTTGCACAATTCCACGTCCCGAGCGCATGCGGAGATTAGAGGGTGAATTTCATTTCGAACGAGGAGAAGGAAAGGGTCGAATCCGGGGTTTGAGGAAGGTTGGAAGCGCAGGGGCAAATTGTTGGTGACCATGTCGCTGGAAACTATCCCCGAGTCGCTGGACACGGCGGGCGTGGCCGCCATGGTGTCGGTGATGGGGCGGTACACGCTGGAGAGTCTGCGGGACAGCGAGCGACGAGCTCAGCACAAAGAGCAGTGCGCCGAGAGGCTGAGGTGCAACGACGGGCGGCAGGTGCAGTACGCGGAGCAGGCGGTGCTGGCGAATTTGGACTGGGGAATCGGAGCTCTGGAGGAAGCGATTCGCACCACGAACGACGAGACGAAGGTGGCGCGCTTGGATCACTCGGAGAAGATGCTGCAGGTGTGCGCGCTGCTCGACTGCCGAGCCACCACGGCCGGCGTGCCCAACTCGTACCTCTCGGCCTGGGCGCACCTCAACCTCGCCTTCGTCTGGAAGCTGCGTGGCGACGATCGCCAGGCCGCCATGCACATGCTCGAGATGTTCCTCGTGGATCCGCTCTTCTCCCGAGTCGATTTCGCCCCGGCCCTCTGGGAGCACCTCTTCCTCCCGCATCTGACCACCATCATCCGCTGGTACACGAGGCAGCGCCAAAGCGTCGTGCTCACGGGGACAGCCCGCACGATGACTGAGGAGTACGAGAGCTCTGTGTCCATGTCGCGGGACTTCGATCTCTCGAGCTCGAGCTCGCAGAATGATCGCCAGCTGAATGTGTTCGATCTGTCGGCCGATCAGACGTCGCAGCTGCAGGCGCTGGAGAAGCTGTACCAAGACTCTTTGGACGAGAACACTCGCCAGTACGCTCGTTATTACAGGGACTGGTTGAACTACGACTCGGCCTACAGCAAGAGCCGCAACAAACCTCTGATGCCCATCGCCGAGCCTCCCCAAGCTCCCGTCCCCGACCAAGGGGCCATGGCCACCATGCCCAACAAGAGAATGGCCACTTCTGCCGCTTATCAAAGAATGGCACCACCCAAAATGATGGAGCAGGTCCAAGCAGCGCTGGAGTTCTCTGCACCTGGGTAAGCAAGCGCCTCTCTCAATTTCGACTCCCAAGCAATCTCTTCCCCATCTATGTGGGCCCGGGGGTGAGCATGGTAGTCGTGAGATGACTTCTCAATCAGTTCAGACCTTGGCGACGATCGAATTTCATGAAAATCATCTCATTCGAGAGTATACTCTTCGCAGTGTTTGCCTGATATATATAATATCAGAACAAACGCACGTGTACGTATCACGGTTAGGAAGACATGATAGAGTTCACATGACATTGGGCGCGTGTGTGGGATGATCCTTCTGAAGACCGAGAACGATCGAGGGAAGAACGATTAATAGGAATCCTTGGTGGTCGTTCTGCAGGCAATTGAGAAGTGGTTTAGCGTCAATGGATGATCCGGACTCTCCAAATTCCAACTTCCGAAAGGTTTGTCCGTTAATTTTCGATGTTTATAGATTGGTCTTATATATCGTGGTCTACAACACGGGGACTATTTATGTTTTTCTGTCGTATGGAGTAATCTCATCTTTCCTTCGCTTTATTCTGTCAGAGAGAGAGAGGATCGGGGGCGACATGAACGAGCAACTCTCGAACCTTAATGACCCATGCTCTCATGATGGTGTTTGCTTGGACTGCAGCCCACGAGGGAGGACAATTTGATGAGCCTCGACCAAAATCTCAACGTCATGAACATCACGAGCGATATCATGAATCAGGCACCTGAACATGCCCAGCCGCCACAATCGCCCAGCAGCAGCAGCAGCAGCAGCAGCCGCCCCTTGCATTTGCCTCCCTCTCTCAGTCGTCGAGATTCTCTGGCCAAAGCCTTCACCGTGCAAGGGACTGCCCAGCCTGTGCCGGCCGCACAGCACCTGCAACTGCAGCAACCACAGGGGCACACGGCGCTAGCAGGCAGCAGTCAGTCGACATCTTCATCAGATGAATTCGAGTCCGTCAGTGGAAGCCCCCCGACTGACTCTGAACACTCTCCCCAAAGTCTCAAGGAATCATCCAACTCATACCCGAAGAGCAGTGCTTCTCCTGTATCACGATCACCTACGAGTCAAAGCCCCAGAGCCATGGCCACTGCTGCCGTAGGACTTCTGCGCACCTTGTCCTTCAAGAGAGATCAGACCGGGCCTCCTGTCACGACGGAGACTCCCTACGCGTCCGGCAGACACAACAAAAACCTCAGCAGCGGCAGCGGCAACCACAGCCAAGATTCAACCATAGAGCGAGCTCGCGGCAAATCCAAGTCCGGCTACGAGGTGGGGCTGCCCTCGAAAAATTCTTCCATCAGTAGGCGCTTCACGGATGCCCTCGCCAATTCGACCGACTCGCCTCGGGCTTCGGCAGCGTGTCCAATCGCCAGCTCGGGATCCAGCGACGAGTCGGAGAGCTTAGGAGGACGGGCAGGAGCTGAAGCAGGAGCAGAGACAGCGATAGCGACAGGAGACGCAAGGATTCAGGTACACATTGCTCCGATTGCCAACCCTCCGTCATGGCCATAGGCCTGCATCGGACCCGAGGCTCCAAATCCAGGGCTCGGGCATGTGAAGACTAACCAACTCGTCGACAGTCCACGACTCCTTTTAGCTTTCCGTTGACTTGCATGATTCGTTGCTTCGTTGCTTTTGTGAATGTGCCCGGATAGATATGCACAGTTCTGATTGCCCGGTTCACCACGAATAGACTGCAACTTCTGTCAGAGAATTCTCAGACACCGGGCTCTCCGGGGCCAGTAGGATTGACTTTCATTGACTCGGTAGTTTTGAGCTTTACCACTTTTGAGCTCTGTGGCCATGGGCCCCGTGGGGGGAGGGCATGGGGAACCGCGCAGAGCGCACTGGTGAACAATCAGCTCGTCGAGAATGTTCTGCCACTCGTGGTGGAAATCTTGACTTTCTACTTCACTCGGCGGTGGGGTAGCCTGAATGCCGCGAGCTTTAGCATTCAGCTCGATGTGAACGACGATGATCGAGGCGAGGCATGGAGTTGTCAAGCGAGTACAGCGGCTATGCTGTCTCGGGGATGGAGGCCAGTCGGTCAAAGGGGCGAAGTGTACACAGCTCGACGCGCTTCTCAGAGTCTAGACCTTCTGTCATGTTGGGCTCTTGACCTCACGATGAGCCAATTGACCGTCCAATTTCACAATGCTGGCGCCTGTCTTTCGTTGTGCCCAGGAACACCAACAACAGCCACCACCACCAGAATTGCAGCTGCAACACCAGCAATCGCGTATCAGCAGAAGTGTGTCTAAGGTGACAAGAGTACGGGGCCTTCGATTCCAGTCCCGATATGCAGACGAGGAGGATATGCAGATGGACGACAGCGGTTGCCTTAATATGAGCACGTGTGGCGGAGCTGCTGCTGCTGATGGAACCGACGACGAGAGTGATGTCGAAGGCTCCTCTGTGAACTCTGCTGAAAGACCTGCGTCGCTTCCTCGGATTGGGTCTCAGGCAGAAAGCAGGTACTGCTCGTTGCTCGTTGCTTGTTGCTTGTTGCTTGTTGACATTCGTCCGCTCTGTTTTCCTATGTTCCAACTTCCGGAAGCCGATTGGTCTGGGTTGAAATGATGATAATAATAATAATGACGATAAGGAGCTGCTCCCTTTGCCTCGAGTCTGGTCTGATCACGAGAACATTTTCAGTGCGTCGACAGTCGAGCATCAGCACCAAGACCAGGGGCACGTGGGAATCAGCCACAGCCAAAGTCATGGGAGGAGTGAATCTCAGCCGAGTTCCAAATCCGATATTAGCAGAGCGACCCAGCTCACGAGACCACCCAAGGATTTCGTGTGCCCTATCACAAACCAGCTGTTCGATGATCCCGTGACTCTGGAAACAGGGCAGACATACGAGCGCAAGGCAATTCAGGAGTGGCTGGATCGAGGCAACACCACATGCCCCATCACTCGGCAAACGCTGGTCATCAGCGCCCTACCCAAGACGAACTACGTTCTCAAGAGGGTCGTCGATTGCTGGAAAGAGCAGCACCCGGAGCTGGCTGCAGAATTCGGGTCTTCTGCAGAGTCTCCTGAAATGAGCATTATGAGCAGCGGCCACCAACAGGGCAGCAGCACCGGAGGACTCTCTCCCATTAAGATGAGGCCGTCGAGAGGCTTGACGGAATTCGGTGAAGGATCCCTCGAGCCTATGTCCCCATCGGACTCTATCTCGCCCTTGTCATTGTTCGAGAGCTCAGGGAGACCAGTTTCCAGGAGGTTCAGCAGGAGGACTTTGTCCAGTCAAGGCAGACGTACTCCGCTTAGTCCGGTGGTGATCGAAGGCCTGCTGCTGGATGTTTGCCCGGCCATCAGACGCCTCTGCAGCTCGGAAGACTTCGAGGGATGCGAGTCCATGGTCCTGGAGATTGCACGCAGCTGGCAGGAAGCTAGAGCGGACCCGAAAATGGTCGCAGCTCTGCTAAAAGCTGGTGCTGTCGACAGTTTGATGGAGGTTTTGGCGAACTCATCGTCTCTCGAGGTGCTGAGGGCCACCATTTACTTGTTGTCCGGTTTGGTCGATAAAGATGACTCCACCAGGCAAATCATATTACGAATCGATCCCAGACTGACAGCTTTGATCGGCATTCTGAGAAAGGGGCTCACGATGGCAGTCGTGCTTTTGTACCAGCTCAAGCTCCCGGTTCAGCAGCTCGCTTCCCTTGATCTTCTGCCCCTTCTCGTGCTGGTCATCAAGCAGAGTGACGAGAACAATGCTGTCGTCATAGACCACGAGGAGCTTCCTCTGACAGTAAGACCAAAATATGCAGCAATCATGCTTCTGGATCAGATCGTCACGAGCGGTGATCCTGCGGCTTCTGAACAAAGCGCTCAAGCGATTCACGACCTCGAGGCAGTTCCTTCTCTCATCTCTAGCCTCGGATCATCCAATATGGACGAACGCATCAGTGTTTTATCTCTGCTGCTCTCCTGCATGCAAACAGATGGCAGGAGCAGACACTTGATCGTCCAGCTCTGTAATTTGACGCCAGTGGTGGACCTGCTCCACAGCGGAAACAACAGAGGCCGGTCTGTGACTATATCATTCCTCGCTGATCTGGTCCATCTTCCCAGGTATAGATGGCCTTCAACTCTAAGCTTGCCTAAAGAAATACATCATGGCGATATCCGTCCTGCTCCTGCTCGTCGCCCGAGTTTCGTAGCTGGCCAAGATATGTTTGAAGAGCTTACTTTGACGTCATGGCTGAACTGCAGGAGATCTTCGTGCAGAGATGTTCTGCAAGCAGTAAAGAAAGAAGGGCTTTTGAGCAGTATGCACGTGCTTCTGGTGCATTTGCAGATGGCCCCCATCGAACAGAAGCCGGTGGCTGCTGGCCTCCTTCTTCAGCTCGATTTGCTGGTACGTCATCAGTCCTTTGCCTGGCGACGTTAGCAGAACTTAATTGACTTAAGCTGCGTGTGCGCACATCTGTGTGTGTCGATGATCAGAAGGACTAATCCGAAGTGGGTGAAGTGCAGGAAGAGCCTCGCAAACGAAGCATGTTTCGTGAAGAGGCCGTCGAATCTCTCGTCGAAGCTCTGAACAACACGGAGGATGTTATTTCCCAAATCGAAGCGGCCAGGACCCTTGTGTCTCTCGGTGGTCGTTACTCCCGCTCTGGAAGGTCAATGATGGAGCCATGGCTACTCAGAACAGCTGGCCTGGAGAAGAGCTTTCAGTCTTTTGTAGATGAGGAGCCAGATTGCAGCGATCAAACACAGGTCAGTACCCTCGATCGAGATCGCAGCTAGCTCCACCACAGTCACACTTCACACTGCACAAAAGCCTTCTCAGCTGCAGCCTATTTGGAGCCTGCTGCTCGTCTTATACCTTCGTTCGTTGAAATGGGCTCATGTATTTTGCAGGAAGAAGAAGAAGAAGAAGAAAAAGTGGCCAGACTTTGGGAACGAAAAGTCGCAGCAGCCTTGGTCGGACATGATCTTGGAACACTGATCGACTCTCTGGGTCAAGGCATTCAGTGCAAGAACCCAGAAGTTTCCAAACCATCCATGGTCGTCGCCACCTGGCTCACGCATCTGCTCCCCGTCCTCCCTGATACGGGTATACGGCAAACTGCACGAAGTACCTTCTTAGATCACTTCGTTGGAGTGCTGCAGACGTCTAAAGAGCTCTCACAGAGAGCTCTTGCCGCCCTTGCTATCCACAGCTTCATTTCTGATCAAGGTGTGAACAACGAGAGACTCTTTGCAACTCTTCCGTCCCCTTCCTTTCCTTTCCTCTTGTAAGCTATGTCGAGCTCGACATTAGATCGGTTGATCGAAAATTAACTCTTCTTTACGATCAGCAGGCGCTGTTTGCTGGAAACCTCAGTACTTCCTACCCAGAAGTCATGAGCTAATCACGTGCCTTTCTCTTTGCGTATGTGACTAAGATTATATTTAATCGACTAAACCAATCATGTCTCATTCCTATTTTAAAGCGAGTAATCGAGTGGAATAGCAAGTCCCAATGAACTCGTTCTGTGTGTGCCGTTGCAGAAGGAATTGAAGAACTTTTAAAGTATGCCAAGGACATTTCCGGCCCTTTGAGGCATTTGAAGAAAACCACATGGGTGGCTAAAGAGATTCTTCGAGCTTTCAACGCCCACGCTTCTCTCCAGTTGGTGAGTCCTTTCTCTGCCATGGGACCTGTGTCTGCTCCTTGGATAAGTGCATACACATAACCTAGCTTATACTCGGTATGCATTCCAGTGTCCCCTTCACCGTTTCCAATCCCTTCCACTGAAACTGCTTTTCTTGCAAATACGTACGTGGTGCAACAGGCCGAGCTATGGCTTCATGGCGAGCAACATCAGCTCGATACGTCTGCGAACGGGGAAGTGCGTTCTCTCAGCCGAGCAAAATGTCGTCTATTCTCGGGCCATTCGGACGGCACTATCAAGGTCAGTTTCTGGGTCATCTGCCGTGTTTTGATTTGGCATCGGCTCCTGATTCAAGCGGTCTTGAAATTTTCACACGAACAAAACGTGAAGATAGATGCAGTTGGTTGAAGTATGATAGATCGATCTCGGCAGCTCGATGATTATCTAGCTTTGGTTCGTTTCTGCAGGTTTGGGATGTACGGAAGAGGTTTCCAGCGCTCATCCAAGAGATCAAGGAACACTCCAAGTCTGTTACCTCTCTGGCTGTATCTGTGAATGCAGACAGACTGTACAGCGGCTCACTTGACAAGACCATCAGAGTACGAACACAGTCTTCAGAATCCCTAGTAGTTTGGCGAGAACCGCTCTTGCCTTGTAATGACGAGCAAATCTGATTGACTGCTCCAGCGTAGAAATCCATTTTCATTCGCAGGGTCAACACATTTCTCCAAGTCTGGGCACCAATGTTATGATGCGAATGTTTTGTTGCAGGTATGGGCCCTTGGAATAGACGAGATTCACTCTGTACATGTCTTTGACTTGAAAGATGCGATTATGGGCCTTGTGGTGAACGGTCCTATGGCTTGCATCATACCTCAAGGAGCAGGCATCAAGGTGCATTTCTTCAATCCTTCCTGTTGATGAGAAAATCATTTTCGTCAGTCTTGTGCCTCAAGGACTCGTAGAATATTCGGCCACTCGCTTTTCAAGATTCAGGATCCACTCAACTGAGTCGAAAATCAGCTTGCAGCTATTAAATAATGTTAATTGAGGGTAAAACCGCAAGTTCTCATCATCTTCACTCCTTGGGCAGTGAAGGATCGTCTGTTGGGACTACTTACTCACTAGGACACACTTCCATCAGTATTCGAACCAACATTTCATCATACTGATCAAGATTACCCTTTCAGAATCTTAATTTGTTAGCAAAAAGAGGTTTGACAAGTTGCCCGCTTGCTGAATCGACTGGGGTTCTGCAGGTTCAGTACGAGGATACCGCAACGAAGGTACTCAACCAGTCCAAGCACGTGCAGAGTTTAGCAATCTCCGGAGGCAAAATCTATTGTGGATGTACAGACAACAGCATCCAGGTTTTAATCCATACTCTGCTAATCTGTATTGAATAAAGTACGAACTTTTCTTGTATCTGCGTGAAAGTTGCTGTTTAGAGCCTTGAACCAACAACTTTAGCGTTAAGTCGGTCGATTCCCATGTGTAAATGAACAGGAGATCGATCCAATGTCGGGATCCATCGAAGTCATACAACACGGAGTGGGGACCTTATTGAGGAAGAAGGCGATTTTTGCTGTCCAAGTCAGCAAAGATCATCTTTTTACTGCAGGGGCACCTGTTGATGGTGTTGCTGGCAAGGTAATAATGCTGTGTCAGATAGTTTTCATCGGTGTCGTAAACATTGCGATTTGCTCCTGTATGCTACTAGAGAAATCCAATGTTTTTTACTCACCTAAATTTCCTCCTTGGTGCTTGTGAAGATCTGGAAATTGTCTGACAACAGCTTAGTAGGCACTTTGAGCACAACAGCAGAGATTAGGTCGATGGCTATTTCCGAGGACTTCATCTACCTCGGATCAAATACTGGTATCATAGAGGTGAGTGTGATGATAAACTTAGAGTAGGAGCTTCTCTTCTAGCTCTTCATGTGCCCCCGTGGTGACTGGAAACAAGTTTTCTATGCTTGAGTAGACTCACTGATTGTATTAATGATACAGGTATGGCTGCGAGATAGGCTGGTGAAAGTAACAACGATGAATGTTGGAAGTAAAGTCCTTTCTCTGATGCTCGATGGCGACACTCTTTACAGCGGTTCTGAAGATGGAAAGATCCGAGTAAGTGCGCATGGCCGAGCCATGTCCATCAGAGTTTTCTGTACTTTATTTAGGCTTTGTAGATGCACAGCATATCAACTCCGTCAGATGTATTTTGTCATTCGAGAAGCGAATATGAGAATTACGTATCCAAGCTAACAACAGGACTAACTTCCTCTTTCAGGCGTGGACACTGGTCTGAAGGTGTACTTACTACGTCAGAGAGCACGATTGGGTAAATTTGAGAATGTCTTCTTCTCGTGACAACAGCTGCAGCAAAGAGGTTGATTACCATATCCAAGCCTTCTTCCATGACGTGGCCCTCCATGCCTTAATTATACTACCCACCCAACAGCAACAGCAGTCACGTACTTGGGTGCAAGAGCAGTTACGTCGGGCAAAACAGCACATCACCTCGGAACTGAACCAAGCCAGCCAACCTTGTACCATCTTGTACCAACAATTACCCTACGAAAAAAAGGGTCACCTAAATACGGGATCGAAGGAAAGCTAACAAGTCATGCTGGCAGCCCGAATGAACTCCAGCAGTGAGCCGTTATTCACAACCCTCCCAGGTCGGAGATACTTCACATCTGTTGTTCTTTTCAATAACTTGTGGAAAAAAGATGCAGATGAAGCTTCCCAGCTTCGGAAATATTTGAGGGAGATCTAAAAGAATGCACACACATTTTGAGCTCAAGTTCGACAATATACATCAGTCTTCTCTTTCGGTCGCGACCTGCCGGTGGCAGCTGTGGACCCCAAGGTGGCATCGAAAAGGTCTGGGCTTTCTCTAGAGGAACTTAAAGAGTTGAACACAGCCGAGATGCTCTACTCGAACCGGACATCGTGGCAATATTCATTATTTGAAGATAGAAATTGTACAGATTGTTTATAGGAACCGAGCTATTAACTGAGATAGGTGCGATGTTTCAAGAGATGTAACTCCGCCTTCTAGGACATAATCTCATGTTTCCATCATTGTTTCAATCCTTATCTAGAGGACCATCACACAAAATAAGGGCAAAAGGCCCTGTCTCGCATGTAGTATCTGTGAAATATAAACCATAACTCTGAAATTTGGTGCCCCACCAGCCTCGTTTACTTCAACCTCGAGGCACATATCAAGAAGCATGATCTTTCTGTCTTTGTCTATGTCATCGATCTGGAGCAGGCCGAACTACGACCGACTTCAGATAGGGAAAGAACGTGTTTGTTCACAGAGCATGGTTGCAATCATACGTTTCCAGAATGCAGCCAAATCCAGAATTGTGTTCTGTTAGAAATTAGACTCCCTACGAAACTTTTTCAACTTGGTTAATGCCATCTTCCGAAGTTGATCAGAAGAATTTCTCCTCAACAGAATCAAATAAGGGAGCAATGTCTCGCGGCGAGCGTTTGCTGTGCCAGGTGTTTTGCGAGCATCAGACATTCAGTTTAGGAAAGAAGGAGGTGAGTGCTCTGATTTTTTCACTCAACTTAGTGTAGTAATTCAAAAAAATATGCGAGAAGCAAATCGGAGCTGATGGCTCACGACTGGCGTCCTTGGCTTGCAGAGAGTTCAGCAGTGCAACGCCGATGGACGACTAAAAGGAATCCGTTGGCCGGAGACTCACCTTACTCGCCTTGCAGAAAGAGCTTGACAGTTAAGAACTGGTTTGTCTCGAACGTCGATCAGTGACATTATCTAAACCATTATGATGCAGCCTAATATACGATGATAATTAGGGAATGATGGTACTCAGTCATGGTGACTGACTACCTTCACATCTTCAACAACGGTGAAATTTTCAGGTCTGAGGAGGAGATGTTCAGTGGTCAAATGCAAAGAAAGTCCAAAATTCGAGCTACAAATAATCACAGAACCATGATAAGGGGGTCAAGAATGCTCGGAATTACAATGTCCGTTTGGCTGCTCGGCGGTTACAGTAACTAAACATGTCCACAAATCACTCGATTTGTGGCCGCCAGGAGAAGTAATAGTACCTTGCAATTGCTTATGTCTTCAAAGTATCGTTGACGAACTTGGGTCCTCGGTCTCACGCATCTCGAAGAACCTTCCAGTCCAAGGAGGCTCAGATCTCTTTGTCTCCCCCGTCCTGTTGGGACCAAATGTGTTCTACCAATTACAGAACGCAGGCTTGACTCCCTTCTAGAAACGTTAGTGACAAATCATAATCCTCGGTAGAGGCAGTGACAGTTTTGGGCCACGAGCAATTGATACGAGACGCTGGACTGGAGTCTGGGACGGGGTGCTCGTTCCCCCCAGGTTCGAAGTCTGCCAGGTCATCGTCCGACAGGAGAAGCTCCTTCCATCCGCCACGTGGAGAGGGGGGGCTTCCACGTCGGATCACAGAGCGAGTTCCCGCCGGAAACAGAGAAGCAGACTCCCGCGCTCGCGGTGGCTTCTCGGTGTCGACGTTGGAGAGCGAAGAGTCGGCGAAGGTTGGGCACTGGGCGACGACAGATTCGCTCGCTCGCTCAATTCTTTGAACCGGTTTCCGACCTGAGTCCCTCGTCCCTCGACCCTCAGCTCAATTGACCATTTCGTTTGCCATCCTCGTGACCTCAGAGTTTCGAATTGTCAGGTCCGTGGCAATCGGAATTGGGCTCTGATTCTTGGGTGCATGCGTGCGAGCGGGACTGCAATCAGACGACTGATTTCGCAAGTCGAGAGCGCCATTCGTGGCCCATCGCCTCGGCACTTGCGGGCCCGCTTGCTCGAGATGTCGGAACTGTGGCTGGTCCCCGGGGTCTTGCTGAAGAAGTTTTTAGATGCCATAAAGGATATTCGCATCCATTGGTTCCGGATGCGAATTTCGATTATTTTGCGTCGGATTTTCAGCTACAAGCCATGGATTTTAGCCATGTTGCCCTCGTAGCTCTTTTGTGCGGTCTGACGGGTCCGAGCACTATCGGTGCGACCGCAATATTTCTATGGGGCGGAACTTCGGCAACGTGGCCAAAATGCTCAAGTGCGCCAATAATTAAGATATCATCACTATGAAGGCAGACGATGACGGTGACTCCGTCACATTCGTGTTCGAAAGCCCAATCAAGATCGCAGTCTCAAACTTTTTTCGTCACACTCTTATGATGCAAATTTTGCCACCCGGGTTAGGTGAATGTGCGATTTAGTGCTTTCGCCAATTTATTTCACGTGGACCTCTTTCTTGTGATCTTAGTTTCCAGACCTGCCATGATTCAATTGTATTAATTTTCTATTAAGCGGGCTCCAATGTACAGCGAGAGATTATCAGCTGATGATTATCTTGGTTTTTCCTGCAGACCAGGACATGACATCGTCTCTGATTTTGGAATGAACCTTGTGGACATTGACAGCGAGCATCTGGGCATTCCAGAAACAGAGCACAATGCAATTATCAAACTGCCCTCTGCAGATATTGCCCGAATCTGTTGAGATCTGAGCACAATCGGAGTTGCAGGTGAGATACTGGTCGTAATTTACATCCATCTTGCATTCGGTAGTTGAGTCCAAAGCCAAGGGAGTATATTATCTACCACGTGCAAAGAGACAGGTCCGACGAAGTGTCCGCCGTCCTACAATGGCGGACGAACTTTACCTCGACCTTGCTTCCGACGTCGACAGCAGCACAAAATAAAATCGAAACCTCGGTAAGCTGGCTGACATAGAAGAAGCCTGTCCGGTCGCAACCAACTGTAGAAAACTTTGTCCTCCGAGAGAATGGTGACTTTCAGTATAATCCAACATGTTTCCACTGCATCTTACCTCAAATGGAAGTAGAACTCGTCTTTTCGTGTCCGTCGACGATCTGACTTCTTTCAGTCGCCACATTTTTAGCGTCTCTAACTTGGCCCTTGTTTTTAGTGGCTCAGTAACCAATTACGATTCGAGCGAGGATTCTGTCCAATGAATGCAGGAAAAATTTCACCTTGGACCGTCTCACTGGTGTGTCAAATTGCACAAAGGCGCTCAACCATCACTCTTCTCTTCCATCTGGAAGCCTTGATCTGATAAAGCGCCATTCCTCTCTCGTGGATGAAGTGACGAGTCTAGAGTATTTGAGTGTCCAATCTGCAGAAGATGTCCTACCATACAGTCCAAACACCCGCGCTCACCAGAAAGGTTTTGTTTGTTTAGTATTTTGACAATGAGTGCCGGTCCAGTTCTCCTATTGTGGTCATGGTCTTAGTCCATGAGCTCCCATCACACTCACATGAAGGAGGGTGTCGCGTGTTGCAGTTGTAATTTGCAGCTGTCTCCAAGTCAGAAATTAAATTCACCAATCAAGGGGATGTTGAGTGCAAGCGTCGTAAGTCGTCAAACTAACAGGGCTTGAAAATTGGGCGAACTTCTGGGATCCGCACACGGCTCACAGGTCGCCTTTTTCTGCCCCGATTAGTTTAGCCTTTTGCTTTCCATATTCCCACCGACTGTATACCAATCAATCAGGTCCAAAGAGCACCAGTTGCCCGAGGAAGCTCACCGGCTTTACAACCATACCTCAGTGATGGAGCACTCCCCGTGTCGGGAGCCGTCATTGTCAGCGCCTATGGTTGCGTGATTGTGGCCGGTCATTTGCTTCGGAAGCAGAGAGGAAATTGCTTCTTGGTCCATCAGAGCGCTGTCTTCAGTCATCGATCACTATTCACAGTGAATGACTAGACCATGAGAAGTTCTGACGGGTTTCGTAAACTAATCGGATTTATATTGTAAACGAGACAGTTAGGGTCGAGTCCAGCCCCTACAAATCCCATTTATTATATCGAACTCTATAGCCGTCCCACATTTGGTGGCCCCTACTTTCCCTGTACTTTGGGACTTCGTGAGCTTATAGCAAACCAATTCCGACAGACGTGGAGAGATTTTGCAGGATAGTCGACCGTAGTTTGGCCTGGCGTAGATTTCAACAGAGAACGTCCTGGTTACTTGCCTGCAAGCTGAAGATGTTCATGGTGTATTTACGATGTGCAGGACCATCAAACTGTCATCGATATGAACGAGCCTGTACATGAACGTTTGCTTTGTGCTACCTGAAATCCTTCAATAAAGCGACCATCCTGTCCAGCACCGTCCCTCTTGGTTTATCCAAAGAGCTCCCTGTAGTTTTACAATATAAAATAGCAGCTGGTGGAGGATAAGGAGGAAACTGCCAAATGAAAGCTGTTTTTAACTTCGTACTTGTCACACAACTGTAAAACCTTTTGGTTGCTTGCTCACTGCTCTCCAGCTTCTTATAAAACCTTCAGCACTTGCAAAGCCAAATCTGATATGAGGTGCCCACTTTGTGACCACTTTGTGGATGCTTTCCTCATTGACACGTGGACTGGCTTCAGTCCATCAACCTCGAGAATCCTGAATATAATGGCTTACTCTGTGGCTGATTTCGTAATGTGCAGCACTGGTTTGGCTCAGATGTGCTGCAATCCACCTGAATGTTTCTCGCAAGAGACATATGCTGCTCTTAATGAATCACTTGTTGAAACTTCAGCTCATGCCTGACTAAGAGGAACGAACTGCCCTTATCCCAAAATAAGACTACTTAAGGCGTTTCTTGACAGTGGCCGCGACGTTCCTCGTTTTAAGCAATTCTGAAGCAGCCATAACTGTCAGACTACTGTTTCAACTTCGATCTCAGCGGAAACACTGACAACCACTGAAGGCGACTAGGAGATTTTTATTCTCGTGTTTTGGCAGACCTAATTGAAAGAAGTGCCACTGGCCATGGCATTGCCAACTATTCTCGATCTTCGCTCCGGATCTTGTCATGTGTATCTTGTCATGTGACTCATCCTTTGGATTGGGCTTCCCAATCATTCGAATAAAGTGAATCTGAGATCCAGGTCTCAACCAGCCGATCCAGCGGAAGTGGTTGTGAATGGTGGTCAAGTATAGCTTTATGAAAAAAGGAGACTCCATCGGTTCGTTCGCTGCTTTCAAGGTTCATGGCTACGAAGACAGACCTTGCGAGAGAAACATCCCAACGCCCGAAACTTCCTCCACATTCTGTCAACAGTTGCCACACCGGCCTTGAGAGCGATCGTCACGGTCCGCACCGTTCTCACCGAGGTTGCATTCATCAATCCAGACGCGCACACTTCATCCACAGCGTGCAACAGGCCAGCCGTGCCAAGGCACGCGACTCTTGTGGCGGCGCTTTATCAGTCCCCACCTTGAACCGACAGATGTGGATAATTCCGCTGGTCCCAGTGAATTATTCTGAACGCACCTCGATTCTCGTTTTCAAAGTGGTTTGCTCTCATCACCATATCTGTCAACGAGCTAGACCGAGCTTTCCCGTTTACAAGTCCAAAAGAGCAGACCATAACTTCCATCAAACGTGGTCTTTCTCTCATTCAAAATCTGATTCCTGTCTGGATGTGAGAATCTGTGGGGACCGAAGTTCAGGTCTCCGTCCAGGTGAAGTGAATATCCCACAGACCAGACAATAAAGAATCTCGTGTAGACATCATGTTGCCACAATGTTTAATTGCAGCGTCGTTGCCCGCACGGTTGGCCTTTGGACACACTATCATTCCTCAGCACGTGATAGATGCACGGAGAAAACATGGGACGATAAGAGAAGGAATTTGTAACGCCTTGGTACGCAGGCTGGAGAGAGAGTGAGATTTTCTCCAAGTTACCGCTTCTCGCCTTTAATCATTCCAGTAATAAAGAAAATTATTCTGTGAATTAACCGTCTTCCTTCTTGCTCTTCTTGGAAGAGCAAGAACAGAATTGAGGAAACCATGAAAGTAAATGCCCAGGTTGATTTTCATAATGATCTCTATGTGACACTGTTGGTCCATCAGAGTTCGAGAAAATTCCTTGCACAATTCCCAGGGGAAAATTTCCTGTCTATAGATGAGGATGAAACTCACTTTGGTGTCTGAAAAAGGAATAAAGTATCATTGCATAATAACTAATCTGCAATGATTGAAGAAGTCATTCCCATGGTCCTCCTCCGAGTGCAAGTCGCGTACTCATTATCCCTACGTACTCTTCATGACATAGAGTCGTCTTGTGGCGAAAGCTAGCGGCGTCATAAACTTAAAGCTGGAGTCATTTGCCACCGAGGAAGCAGGAGTTGCATTACTATGACGACGAGGCGTTGTGGAGCAACGTTGACAAACGATGGTCTTGTCAAAGACTTCCTGCGATCTGATCAACAACAACTCATGCTTCCAGGCTAGACCCAGCCTGCCATCAGAACACCCACACGCCTATTAACTACAGTATGTGTTGTGTGCTTGTTGGGCCCTGTCAGTGGCCCAGATCTGAGTCAGTAATGCTGTTCCGTTAGACTGAAACCTTTTATACGTGTTGAGTGTGTCTGTGTCCGTACCTTTCCCCAGTCTCCGGTAGACGGGCTTGAGCTGAACAAGGGGACTGTAGGTTCTGAATATGAGGAACGGAAGGGACGATACAGTAGCACCTGCATCTGACGGTGCCCATGAAGAGAGAGGCTTGGAAAGTTTTGGGGACCCGCGGACATGGCAATTGCTTCGAAGTTTCGCTTCTGGCCGTCCTGGTGCTTTTAGATCCAGACCTTGCCACTTTCGTAGAGCTGTCCGTTTTGCAAAGAAGCTTTTCTCCACATCCGAACGACAGATGCACATCATGACGTCTCTTTTGGCTTAAATTCTAGGTGAGCACTACGAGCCTAACATTATGTATGCACTTTCGTTTTATACAGACAGGGGGCCACTCGTGGAAAGGTTTCTGACGTCCTACAGCTCCACCTTGTGTTGGGGCAGAAACAGAAATGTTTGAACATGCATAACTACTGCATGCAAAAGCATGCGAGATCACAGTCATAGTTTCCCTCCCCTCTCCCCTGTCTGCCCACCAGGTTCCGATACGATATACAACACGAGGCACGACTGGCTAGAGTCTAGACAGAATCTGATCTCGGACCCGACGCGGTCGAACTGTAGTAGTAGCCGGTAGGGCCCAGGAGCTCTGGGTCAACCACAAGTATCCAGATACAGCGTCTAAAGGTGTGGCAATCTTACCACATCTGCCATCTTACGTAATTTTGCATAGATTCATGAACCAGGACATATGGTTTAGGACAGGGCGACGACGTCAAAGCTCGACACCTAATAAATCCACTGTTCTCTCTCGTGCCTTGCCTCGCCTTCTTCATCAGCCGAGCCCCATTTCCACAGCCCCGATGTAAAACAAACATGTGCTTTGAACCGGCAGTGCCGTACACTTCCTGAAGAGGATCGCACGTAAAGCCCAACTTGCCTCCACTTGCATACAGATGTCGCCTCACACTGGACTGTGAGGAATCGTAGATGTTCTTCTATGGTAGAGATCTGTCAGCGCAGTCCAGTAACAATACTGCAGTAGAAAGTACAGATTCCATAGGACACTCTTGTAATAGCATAGGATTTGTCGTTTCAATCACCACTGCCGCCACTGCATCTACTACTAGCTCCACCAGCAGAGCAGACCTTCACTCGTAAGCCTTCGCTCTAGATCTAGATGTAGATATGCCATAGTGTTAGTGTGCAATTCTGGTTCTCTGAAGCTGAGACATTTAGTAGCCGGTTTAGCCAGATGGGCGAGTCTGCATTTGCATTGGGCTCTGAAGTTGGTGGAGTAGGCCAAAGCCGCCGGACCCTTTTCGAATGACCCCTGTCCGTTCGAGTGCTCTTGAATAGGCATGTGGCAGGTGGTTACTTGGAAGCGGTTGCCGACACATGGCGGCTGGGGTTCTCGTTCTGGAGAGTTGCACCCGGCCCGGTTCAGGGTCGTCTGGCCCTGTTGCATCTGGTTCGCAGACTCTATGGACTCTACCCTCGTGGATGTGTAAGTGCATGGATAGAGTGTAGTTTCGCTTTTCACATTTCTCATGATCTCCTTAAAAGCCAGATAGAATAAACTTCCTCTTCTGCCTGAGAGCGTTTGGGGTCCGATAAGACTTGCGTTATTGAGAGAAAGTTCGGGCACTTGGTGTCTGAGACTCTGTGCTTACCTGGGAGACATTCCTTTAACGGTATCGATGCACACTACACATGGCATCTACTCAAGCCATGAGGAAATGAACACTTGGCCTGGAATACTTGGCAGAGTGCTTGTTCAGAGACAAGAACTAGTTTCGTGTCGAGGGGAGCTTAATGTCCACCATTGTACCTACTCTTGTTCGTTGCATGGTGCCCCGTGTTTCGATGACTGGGAAGTTGATACAAAGATCCAATCAAACGAGGGTAAAGGCGGCTAGATGAAAGGTACGTAGGGAGTTCGTGCATAACCATGCAAATGTCAGACAAAATCGCTTTGAGATTTACACCCTGCGGATAAATACGATATGTCGCAGGGAATACTCGATGGGAACCGACATATTCACAAAAGAGTCAGAAGATTCCAACACTCTAGTCTCTTTGCTCTGATTAGATTCAACACAGGTGATAAGAACCGGTGCTCACTCCAAAGCATTATCCAACAGTCCCTTCCACTGAGTGGACACTTAAGAACCATTCAGTTGTACGATACTTCTTCAACCCAGAAAGGCTTTTGGTATTTCCGAAGGACTCAAGTACATATCCGGGCTGAAAAATGACAAAATTTTGAGACTATTGAGTGTACGAGGCATATACTCTTTAACCTCTGTGTCCACAACTATCCTAACAACATTCGTGTATAGCGTTGTAGACGAAGAAGGCGTCGTGTCATTGATGTCTAACTCACTTGCGAATTTTATTGACTGAGTTCTAACTGATCTACGTTTTAACCTTCTTGAAATTTTATTTCCTTTCTAGTCAACTTGTGTGTTGAAAAAATTACTTTACACTTAACAACAGAACAAAACCTCAAAACATAGAATTATATGTGGCTAGAGTGGCTGCTATCGACACTAGCCCTACGACAAGTGTTGGAAGCAAGGTCGCGTTCAGTAACCATTGGCTGCCGAGATAGCCAGCTAGGGTAATCGAAACATCGGCCACCACTCGTGCAAGAGTTCCTGCTTCTGTCGACAGCAAACCACCGTTGAAAGTCCCTCTAGCCAACCTCGAAGACATCACCTTCGACAGCAATGAAAGGTTGACACCTGCACGACGTTTACAACAATCCACATGTCAGTTCCTTGCAAGAAATGAAGAACATAGGTCTGGTGTATGTGGTACGCTGACAGCCTACGGCTTATCGTATAGCCACCTTCACATGGAAACGAGGAGGCATGGACTCAAGAGTGGACTGATTTTGTCGCTTACCTTCGAGAACTTCAGCAGATACAAAAATCAGCAGAGCTCCACTGACATACTGAGTCATAGTATATCGTATGCCAGTATAACTGAAGCTGATTACAATTCCGACGCAGGTGGCGATCTCCGAGAATAGTAGTATTTGTCTGTGCGCACAATCCACCAAGCCGTCCGAAAGTTAGTGCATAAGATGCAGTTTAGCATTCGGCTCACTACACCTTCAAAACTTCTCAACTCAACTCACTGATTAACCGAGAAAAACAACAACTGCATTTCAAACGCTTATTTTAAAGTTAAAAGTGAAAACGTGGGTCGCCTGATATAACAAACCTGTCCTCAAAAATGTTGCTGAAGTAGCTTCCGACCACATAGTTTATTGGTAGTACGGTGAGTCCAAGAAGACCCAAAAACAAGGAAACGTGGTGAATTCCCCAGTCGAAGTAGTAGGCGGTGACAACACTAGACTCAGAAAGCAAAATCTCCATGGAAAATTTCAGCATGAAGTAAATCAGCAGCTGGACCTGCATTACAGATGGGGAGCCTCATAAGTTTTTTGACATCCTTCTCTGCTGCAACAACAGCCGCGAGGAGGTGTGATACATACAGCACTGTGCATTGCGTCAGTGATAGATGATGACATAATATATATATGAGCACATTTACAGGATAAAACACAGCGTCATACCTTCACAGGAGCTGTCAGCAATCTATACGCTTCACCGATAGATGACGCCGGCTCATCTGACCTCTCATCGTCGCTTTCACTATCCTTATTGCTTAGAGCTGAATCTGAGACTGACACTGCTAGAATGAGAGGATCCAACAACCCATCTTCTGCTGCAGATCCTGATCTTTGACTAGTTCTAATGGAAGGATCTGCATAAAGAAACGACGAGGTTGTGAGAACCAAATGTGGGGTAAGAATTAACAAGGAACCTATATCAGGCACATGTGCAGCATAGTACCTGGAGAAGGTTTAGATTTGGATTTCTTCTTCGGAGAATTGTAGCTGCGTTTCGGCTCTTTGAAGCCCACACATAACAACACTAGATATAACAACCAGCCAATTGCCATGACCCATCCTGGAAGCGTGTTGTCATTGATGGTATAGCCGAGAATAGTTGTGTCGTAGGTTAAAAGCCCTGCCATACCAGGCCCGGCTGCCATTCCTAAGGCGCTCGCACTAACAAACGCTGCCGAAGCTTGCAGTCTCATCTTCAGTGGCACACAATCGCTGATGTAGCGACGATTGACAGCTCTTGCTGACCCAAACCTGTGACACTACCATTTGATGTTAGACATCTTCAGAGAATGAAGAAAAGTGGAAAAAATGCCACACTAAATTGCGAGGAACCAAATGACCATAGAGGAGGATAAATTCCAAAATCTCTTTACAATGCTCTGGCACTTTTTCTCTAAACTTTTCTTGAAAAACACATGGACAGCTACTGAACTTGGCAAAGGACATGGTATGTTGAGCAGTACCCACAGAGAAGCCGGCCGATGATTAAGAGACTGATAGATCGATAGTCATACGCAACAGCATAGCAAATGTTTCCCAGCAGTAGCATTACGCTGCTGAAAACTAGGGGCTGGTAGTATGAACTATTCGACCAAGCACTGAAGTACACTGATGAAACAAGCTGAGCGACAGCCATCGACCCAATGACAACTCCACATACTGTTGGAGCAACATGAAGATCTACGGTGTATTTATCGGCTGTTGGTACTATAATATAGGTGTTGACCTGTATAGAAAGAACATCAAACAGCCAAAATTAGAAAATGAAGGACAAACTCAATCGTGTGCCGATGGTAGCAGTCTGCGTGACCTTGAAGTCCACTGCAACGAACTGGAAGTCAACCCGTGCTCTATGTGTCTCACGTTGAATTCCACAGCACCGATAACAAAAGGCTTCCTAACAGTTAAAAAGCGACAGAAGAGCTCTTACTTCTCATTAACAAAGTTCTGAAAATAAACTCGATAAAGACTTTGCCACCAAATTTTGCTTCTACGGAGACTTGTACAAACCATGTATAAAAAGGTGTTCCCAAGGTTGAGTGCCAAAGATAAAAAGTCGTATGGTTCTTCTCCTTCCTGCAAATCGTCTGCAGATATAACTCTAGGAAGATCTTCACGCGGCAACAGAGCAGCTTGCCCTAAGAAACGTAGAAAATTGGTCGAATTTGTGAGTCTATCTTCTGCTGCTTTGATTGCTTTGATCACTGGCTCCTGTTCACATACACCCACGGATTCGAGTGACTTTCAGTGAGACAATTCTTATTATGGTGGAGCCGTCATACAAACTGAAGCAACAACAATTTTCTAACCTTGCCATAACCCATTATCTTTTAAGTTCTGATCCCATTCGAGACCTCGAGTCACACTCAGACACCAGAAATTCAGTGAAAACACTCCTAATTTTAAACCACTACTCTTTGCAGAAATAGATAGCAACACTAGCTCTGGTTGATATTTCACCTGAGAATAGAATGAGGGGGTTGAGGGCAGCTCATATATACACATGCTTTTGGTACTTTGAAGCTCCGCTAAATTACGACTCAAAGTGGCCACCATTGCCCCTATGCCCTGATATCACAACAATATTAGTTACCAATTTGAAACTACGTGTACGATATCTCCTACGGAAGAGATCAGCTACAATTCGCAACGGCGATCAAATTAAAAAAAAAGTCGATTAGAGAACACCTGTAACTAAAACTACATCGTCATTCTTTTTTATTGAAATCTAAAAGGACAACAAGGAACGTCCGCACTTACAACGTGCTTGAAGACTTGTTGCAGTTGTGAGTAAGGATGATTTGAACGTGATGCGACATAATCATCTGTTAGTCTGTATCCGACACGCTTGTCAAACTTTTTAAGGATCTTTCTCAAACCTGTGGCATTCACTTCCACGAAATGTAGCAACTTCAGCAAGTCCTTTCCGACAGCACGATATTCATTTGTAAGCTCGTCGGTCTGGTCTCCATCATCCTCCTGATCTTCGATAGCGATCCTATCATTTGCCAGGTTTGCAAGTCGTTGAGCAAGCCTCCCTTGTTGGTCCAGCAAAAATAAGACCGTCTTCTCCACCTGTTACGATCGGAAATGGTAATAAGGTACTGCAAATTGTGCACAAGCAACTAAGTACAGTGTCCTTTCGTAATCCAAAGGGTCAAGAGCTTTCGATCAATAACAAATGCTGTACAAGATAAGGAATACTCTTATTGTCTACTCATAGAAGCTCAAATTCCAAAATCATACCTGGCGATCAAGCATTAAAGAGAACTCTTTAAGCACTCGTTGACGCTCATCTTTACTAATGCTGGCTTGTATGGCATAATCCTTCAACTTTTTCTTCATCATCTTGTACGAAATGTAGTATCTACATAAAAAGCAGACATACAGCAGTCCCATCAGAAGGCAGAGTTTGGAGAAAACAGGAGCGCAAATCACCCCCGCTCGTATTACCCCTTCTCTTCACATTCAACACACGAGTGCTTGAGCTGGGAAGGTACGATATGACGTCAGCACTGAACTTCGAAGTCGGCAACATCAAACATGACTCCAACGCACAAGGCATCTCACATCAAGGGAGAGAAATTGGTCTGCGATCACGCGCTCTATGAAACAGTCTACATCGCATTATTCGTCGTGACTTAAGAGGTCCGGGGTTCTCGTATCCGAGGATTATGGCCCCGATGTTCGCGAAATGGAGGCACCACAGCCTGTATGGTAGGCGTGACGATTCCATGCCCACTCGACCCAAATCAGTAGCGAGCGACAGCTGCTAACTCTCCTGGACAACGGCCCACTTTTGAAGGCCTTCCACGAGAGAAACTTCCAAGAGACAAAAGGCTCGTCTCATGGATGTATTTTGCTGTCAGTAGTTGCTGCTGTCCAGTACAGTGATCTTAAGCATTGAACCGTGGTAAATCCTGATCCTTCACCGTGCTGCCCGGTAAAATTTCTTCGCACTTCAGAAATTCGTACCCAGCAAAAGTCCCCGAAGACATATACCCATATTCCAAAGTTGTGCCCTATGCCCAGCCCATAACCAAGCAGCTCTGGTAGTCTGATTACGGGATTGAATCTCAAACTGCGCAACCCGACAGAGAGAGTGAAAGTCCAGAATCTCCGTTTCGGTGCATCATGTATTTCGATGCCAGCAGGATGCACGAATCCCAACGCATATTATCTATAGTACACGTGCAGAGACTCGGAGCAGATAATTTAAACTCCGCACTAGATATTCCCGCCTTCTAGTGACTAAGGTCGAGCTGCACGGAGAATTCGTCGATGAGAGCCCTGAATCGGCCTGGCAACTTTGAACACAGTGACTTCCTGACAGCACGAGGGCGTTTTGAACAAACATCAAAAGGTCCCACTCGAGAATTTCTGGGAACGAACGATCTTGCCCACAGGCCCTAGATTCCAACTTTCAAGATGGTGAACGCGCCTGCTTTTGATTAAACTAGGTGCCCGACACCACACGCGCTTCTCCCACGGACTGTGCGATTCGAGTTACCACATCCTGCGGAGAGAAAAATAATAAACATACACAGACAACCATTCCACAAGCGTTCCGGTTTCAGTAGACTCACTGCTCCCATTCTGGAATTTGCCGCTCCCGCAATTTCTTCCCGAATCCCACCATACTGGAACTGCGTTGCAATCAAGCACATGAAATCCTTAGTTCAAAGAGAAAGCATGGCCTTGAGCTCTCGGGGCAACACATGTGGTACGACTGCAAAAGAATGCACAGATTCCTAATGGAGACTGGATTCAGCTCCCGGAAAAACGAAGAACCCAGCGTGCGGAATAGTCTGAAATGTGTACGGAGAGGGCAAGCTTTATTTCCGTGTGCGCTCTACGTGTACAGAAAACAGATTCGGTCCAGCAGGCGTGAGAGGGTGCGCGCGAGGTCCTTACCACAGCAACTAATGCCGCGAGGAAACTTTCAAAAAATCCCGAAACCCGCAACGCACATGGCAGGTCACGTCGTCAATGAAAAGGCCCGCAGGGGAATTCGACAGGTTCCTGCGAATTGGAGGAGAAGAGAGTCACGTGGACGTCGTCGTGCATCAGCATTCGCTCTTCCACACACAAGAACGAGATCCCGCGCTCAGTCTCGGGGATCTCAGGCACACAACACACTCGCAAAGCTGAGGTCGTCAATCTAGTGAATTTTACACACACCGCGTTAACAAGCGCCCCGGAGACGAGAAGCGAACGCCGCTGTCTCGCAGCAAGCAAACCACCCGAAGTAAGGATTTATGAGAAGAGTCGCGAGTCCCGCCTTTATAGCGGAGCGCGCCCATGACAACATCACTCGCATGAATGCACTCGAAGATCCTCTCCCTCAACACCACACCCCGCGACTGGTTAAACCATGTCGATTAAACAACTCGCGAATATACCGATTTTATCTCCCCCGGCTTCCGAGACCGATCCACGATTCTGCTGTCCTGTGTGTAACGATCTACGAGAAAGGACGTGGACGGTGGCCCTCGGGTCAGCCCCCCTCTTCCTCCATATCCTCTCCTCTTCCCTCCCCCTCCATCTCCATTCTCTTCCCCCGTCCTCCCCCCGACGCACTGCTGCAGAGCTCCTTCCGCTCCCGCTCTGGCCCCACAGCCCCCGCTGCACTCTAATCAGATTCTCTCGCCCTCGTCGTCCCTCGCGCCGTCATCAAATCGCCCGCCATCGTCACGCTGCGACCGGCGACCCACGGTGCCCGGGGCAACTGCTCCCGAGCGGACGACGCCCGGTAGCGCTCCCGACGCCCATTGGTCGCGGTGGATGGGAAGTTTTTCAGACCCGAATTATCGGCCGCCACCGCTCTGGACACGACTTACTCGGATCGGCGCGGTCATTGGCTGCGAGGCCTGTCGTACTCCCCTCTGTGGGCGACGCTCTCACGATAGGTTTTATGACGACGCCGGAGAGGCGACTGCTGGCCCCGTCGGGCCCACGAGCCTGACCGCGCGACCCGCCCGAGTGAGTGCACTGTGGCCCTCTGAACCTTCCGTTACAGGAAATCGTTCCTTCCAAATATAAACCGCTGGGAATATAATCGGGAGCTCCTGTATGCGGAAGCCAACTCCTGTTGGGTTCTTGCTGGGCAATGAGGCAGTGGGACCGGTCCGGGTGACCAGTGACCGGGGGCCCCCTTTCCCTTTTGGTCACCACCCGGTTCCAACTTTCTGCAGGTCGCGGACTCGCGGACTTACGGTCGCGCTCGAGCAGCTATCGCCTTATATCTGCCGGTCAGTCAGTGCATTCGGGGAGAGGTTCGCCGCAATGAGCCGCTTACGCTAATAGCAGGAATGCATTTTATTTTATCCATAATTCAAGAAGAGACAAGAGCCATGCTGCCGATCCATCACCCGCTGCAGTTCATTGTCCGGTTTTTCGTTTTACCTCCGGATTCCTGGCGAAGGTACTCCTCGTACAGTATGCAAAGAAAAGGCCGCGTGAGCAGCAAAGAAGACATTCCCAAGGATATGCCGATTCCGTTTGTCGTACTCTGTATAAACATTGAACACTTGTCCATCGATTAAGCGCCCATCAGGCGCCGCCGTGATCTGCGAGATTAGTAACTTCGGCTCATTCATTGCCCACAAGGTTTACCGGTCAATACTTGGTAATCATTTTCTAACTACATGATGCTTCTCCGCTTCGGCCTCCTCGCATCGCACTCCCCTTTATTCCATTTTGACATGTTCCTAGAACCGAACTATAGATAGACGTTTCGTATCCGTGTTCCCAGTGCACTCTCTTACCGTGCTCTCTGATGCGCTCATCTGACTCTCTCATCTTTCTGTAAAATTCATATTATACACCGCTCGAGAATTCCATAAACAGTAGCACGAATTAATAGACCACGCACCGCACGAATTTTCAGTCAAACCCCTCGCGCATCTGCGTACATTCCCAGCCGAGTCAAAAGGATGCAAGTTTCGATTCGTACTTCTGCACCATTCTCGTGGCCTAAATCAAATGGAAGGAGAGATTAATCGGGTTGGCTTTTGCTCACAACAACAAAAAAGCAATGGGATTTTTTGAGAATTATCCGGACTGTTGAACTGAAATTTATTTTTTATGGTCGCTATGTTTACTTTAAATTTCTTGATCAATCCTTACATACCCGAAAATTGAACATTTAGCTTGAACTTGAGTTTCGGTTAAATAAGTAGCGTCATGAATTGCATCCTAGTTATGGCAAATCCCCCTCAAGATCTCTATACAAGAGATCAACCGCTGAGACTAAGTTGGTTTCGAAATATATATATATATATATATATATATATATATATATATATATTAGCAAAACTGCAAAGTACTCATCATGTATATATTTCACTTCATATTTGAAACACTTTAATTAAGCATTATTAATCATTCTTTATACTAATTTAGAACATAACAAGCTTAATATGTCTTGAAGCTAACAATATCCTGATTTCGAATAATGATGTTGTTTTCATATTCAAAACCATTTTGACATCTGAGAAAGTACAGGGGTTTTTGAAATAACTTGATTATTTTAATTGTAGACCTTGCATATCATTGACTGAAAAAAATCAACTTATTTAGTAAATATCTGTATATTTTTTGGCTTATCATCATATTAAATTGGAATGCAAGGCACTTAAATCATTATTTATAAAATATCATATGATATTCTTGAAATAATTTTCAAATAAAAGATGAAAATTTCTTCTAATTGCAAATAGAATATTCCAAAATAATTTAAGCAAGTCTATCATTGTTAAAAATGTATTAAAACATTCAAATATCATCTACAATTTAATATTTACAATTTCATAATGTAAGAATATTTTAATATGTTAAGATTTACATGGAACCTATCACAAGTCATTAGTTTCTACTATTTGACACAATTAGTTATTAAACTATATTTTATTTAAAATTACTTATACTACAAATTGATCATGTGTCTAATCTTAAAAATTGTTTTTTTACATGATAAATTTATCTGAAAATCAATGACGTGTGAAATTATTAAAAAATTCAAAATAGAAATATGTAAATACAATGAATTATGGACAAGAAATATGACTAATGACAGTGAAACATAAACACATATGCATAAACAAGACAAGAGGAGTACATACGAGACTATGTGATTCACCCTTATGAGCTACGTCCACTGGCCAAGTTTCAAAGTTTGATAAAACAGGCAGCGGGTGGTTGAGACTAGTGATTGAGTATATAGGTATCCAAGTTCTAATAGGCTTCAGCCAAAAAAAATAGAAGGTTATCCCAAAAATGAAGTTCACCGCAACAATTTCCCCCTTAACTCATTTTGAGGAAATGATAGCTTTTATAATCTATATAATTAATTTGCGGTAAGTTTCAAAAAAAAAACATAACTCAAGATACCTCGTTATAACTAGAGTTAACTAGAATTAAGCCGTATCCATAACTGGATAGAGTAATAATATAAAAAGGTACCTGAAAAGACAATTAGCAAACTTCATTTGTGCTCCCCATGCAAAACCTACATAGTAGCAAAATATAGTCTAAAATTTCCAAAGAAATAATTTTGGTCAACGCATCAGCTGGATTGAGTTTATCATCTATCTTGACTATTTTCATACTTTTAATTAAATATTGTTTGTTTGATAAAGTGATACATGTTATCAATGTACTTCATTCTTCTATTCATAATCTAATTTGCAGCCAGATGTAAAGCACTCTGACTATCACATTGAAGATAAATCATGTCATGTTTCAATCTCATCTCGGTAATAAGTCTGTCTCACCAAATAACTTCCTTTGCCGGTTCAGTTGTCGTCACATACTCAACTTTCGTTGTAGATTGAGCTATACACTTCTGCAAGGTAGATCTTCAACTAATGCAACCACCACCAAGTGTAAACACATACCAAGTTGTAGATTTTCTCTAGTGCAAATTTTGTCCATAGTCAACATCAACGTAGCCCAACAAGAATTTGACATTGTCTAATGAACTATAAAACTGTAAGCCACAATACTTAGTATTCTTCAAATATCAACAAATTCATTTCATTGCTTTCCAGTGAACCTTTCCTGGTTCGACATGTACCTCCGCACTTTGCCCATTGCTAGAGCAATATCAAGCCTCGTGCACACCATCATAGCTTGTTCATAGAGATCACATGACATTTTTTCTTTCTCAATGTCATCGAGAGGACATTGAGATCCTAAAAGTCTGAAATGTGATGTCAAAGTAGCCCATACTCCTTTAGAACCAGCCATGTTAAACCAATCAAGTATACGTCAAATATACTTGCCCTGACTCAACCATAATCTATTCTTTATCAAATCATTATGAATATCCATTTGTAATATCCTATCTCAAATACTTCATATTAAATGCAAACTTCAATTGATTCTTGCATTTGTTCACATCGGATTGATTTTTTGTTAAAATGAACATGTCATCTACGTAGAGTACTAGAATAATAAGATTAAAAATCTTATCATTCACCTTCTTCATATAAACACAAGGATCATACACACTCTGTGAAAAACCTTGTGTCTTCATGCACTCATCAAAGCACGTATTCCAATGCCTTGAATCTTGCTTCAGTTCATATAGTGACTTCACCAATCTACAAACCAACCTCTTTTGACCTTTCACCTCAAAGCCAACTGATTGTTTCATGTAGATTTCCTCCTCTAAATGTCCATGGAGAAAAATTATAATCACGTCCATCTCATACATAACAAGACTAAATATCGTAGCCAATTCACATATTAGACTAATTATAACATACTTCGTTACAAGTGAAAATACTCTGTGGTAATCCACACCATTCTCATGTATAAAGCCTCTAGCCATCAACCTCGCTTTGAAGATTCTTGCCTTGTCACTTGCTAGACCATCCTTCAGCTTGTACATCCTCTTGCAATCAATCAACGCTTGATTCTTAGAAAGTTCAACTAACTCCCAAATCTTGTTATCAATCAACTACTACATCTCACACTCCATAGCAACAATCCACTCAAGCTTATTGACCAAAGCTTAAGCTTCCCTATAAAAAGAAGTCTACTCTTCTTTCAAGATCAACGCTGTGCCATCATCATACTTCATATCAATGTCGAGATCTTCAATAATGGATGAATCAGTTCATTCATCAATATTAACAGCAGCTCTACTAGCTTGATTCTATGATCTTTTAGAAAAAGATTCTGGTTGATCTCCATTGTTTGGTGCAAATACATGAGTATCACCAACAATAATCTACTCCTCGAGTTTTTTTTCCTCATGAACTTGTTCCATCTGTACTGGTGCCCCTCCTCGTGTCAAATCATTAATTACATAATGATCAAACTCCCCCTCAACAACATCCATGAGTGGAAACTCCCCCTCAACAACATCCTTGGGAGGAGATTTTCCCTTGTCAATATGAAAAGCATGACAACTCTCTACCTCTTTCAATGATATAGACTCATCAAAAGTAACATCTTTAGTGACAATAACCTTACAAGGTAATCAATCTCATAGCGTGTAATCCTTCACACCACTAGCATATCCCTAAAACGGCACTTCTTGGATGTAGGATCTAAGTTAGTCCTATTTTGCTTGGGTATGAGAAAACACGCAGTAAAACCAAACATTTTCAAATGACTTTAATCAGTCATACATTTGTGTCTCAATTCAAACGGTGTTAAAATATTGATCGCACTAGAAAAAAAAAAGTTAAACTAAATAAATTGCGGTGTTGACAACTTTGGCCCAAAATTCACATGGTAAACGTGATTGGATCAACATACTCCGTACTTTTTCCAACATTGTTTGATTGAGACTCTCAAAAACAGCATTCTAGTGCGGAGATTACAAACCGTGGTGAGATAGCAAGTAATCTACTACTCTTTGCAATAACTATGAAAATTCTCAGAAGTATACTACTCATCATTATCCGCACGCAAATATTTCACCTTGTGTCCAATCTAAGTCTCAACTTGGATCCGCCAACTTTTAAAAGTTGGAAACATCTCAGACTTGTGTGTGAGTAAATAAACCCACATAACTTGAATAATCATCAATCAATTATAAATAGTACAACTTTCCAGAGAGTGAGGCAATATGAGAGGATCCCCACACGTCACCATGTATATAACTTCTTAGAACTATGAGTTCCAACACCAAAGTCTTGTATGTGCTACTTACCCATGATACAATGTTCGCAAAACATCAAGCCAACTTTACCCAAACCAAGTAGCATCTTCCTCTTGTCTAGAAGAAACATGTACCTATCACTCATGTGTCATAGTCTAGAATGCCATACATGAAACATCTCAACTCG